TTTCACCTAATAATTCTTCTAGCCTTGCGTTGTCAATGGAAAGTTCTAAAGCAGTCTTTCACAATTACTGGGATTTTTAGCAATACCAATAAGTAGATGCTTGGTCTTTTCAGTGTTAGGTTTCATTTCGATGAGTTTAAACCACCTGTTAGCTTCTCCTAGATTCCTATTCAGAGTTTGCTGTATTTTAGTATAATTGGTTCCACTTGACCAAATGGTTGTGTCGTCAGCATAGATGTCCATTTCAGTTTCCTTCAAAACAAAAGAGAGATCGTTCATGTAGATGAAGAAGAGAAGAGGGCCTAAAATTGAGCCCTATGGGACGCCTCTGTCTAGGCTTGCTGGACTGGAAAGCACACCAGATACTGAGCAGACGTGGTTACGTTCGGACAAGTAGGACCTGAACCAGTTAATTGCAGTTGAGCTAGTGTGATACTTGGATAGCTCAGCTATGAGGATATCATGACTCATTAGGTCAGAAGCCTTACTGACGTCCAGAATAACTGTTCCCACGAGTTCACTGTTGTCCATAGCCTTAAGCTATTTGTCAGTGATGTTTAGTAGTGCAGTTTTGTAGGAATGAAAGGGCCGTTTGGTAGACTGGTTCTTGTAGTGTAGCTTAAATTGTTCGTAGTTAGGCCGATGCTACATGTCGTTCCAAAGGTTTAGACAAAATAGGCAAGACAGATCTTGGGCGATAATTGCCTCTTTCGTTCGTTGATTTTTTGTTTTTGTTTTTGTTTTTGTGAAGTGGTATTACCCTGGCTTCATTGAATGTCGCAGGAAAGACACCTTGACAGATGCTTGCTTTGTAAATATGCTCAAGACTCGGGGATATTGCTGGTAAAATCCTCCTTGATTACACGAATACTGCAAACGCACCCAACGATGGTTTCCTCCTAATTGCATTTAAAACACTTTTTGGGTTATCCAGAGTACTTTTAGATCTCTAGAAATGGATTCTAAGCGGCGCTATAAAATTTGTATCTGTTCGGTCATCCTAGTGGAACTTGCGTCTTTTTTAAATTACAAGGGCTGGAGTATTATTTTTCTGAAAATTTTAGACGAAAATTGATTGTATTACGAAAGTGAGACATTTTCTGATACCAAACGCCATCACATTTTTGAATCCGAAAATTTAAGGTTCCTTTTTTCCACAAAAAATAGCCTAACTTGGGACGTTAAATGTGAAAATTAAACTTTTGAAATCAGAAAACCGTAGGGAATGTATAAGATAAGCTCCGAAATTTCTAGATGAATGGAACGGTCATCTAGAAATTTTTAGCCGTCCTCAAGTAATGGAAAATTCTAGGCAATAATTGCTTCTCCGAACAGATATTTTACAGAAAACAGTCGTTGGGTGCCCCTGATACTGATGCCATCAAGGTCCCGTTTGTTAGATGGTATTTTTCTCACATCTGCTTCTATAATTTCCTTAGTAATAGGCTTAATGGACAATTAAACTTTATCAGTTATTTGAGTATTGACAAAGTTTAATAGAAGAGCATCAAGCTCAGATTCTGCGGTTACCAGATCTTCTGATAGTTTAGATATTACATTCAACGAGGTAAAATATATTTCATTTAAAAGCATCTGAAATTTTCTTTGGGTCTGTGATCTGTTCTTCGTTAACTTTAATAGCGACTGGCGCTTTGGAAGAAGGTTTAGTTGGCACAGTTTGTTTTACCAGTTTCCAAAGATTTCTTGCATTGTGTTGTTTTGTTTTCTAGGATTTTATCTTTGAAATACTTTGACTTTGCATTGCAAATCAGTACAACGGCAGTGTTTCAGGCTCTTTTGTACATTGTTCAGGCTAGTATATTATTCTTGGCACGTCCTTTAAACTTGTCCCTGACAAATATTTGCTGAAGAGTGTCTTGAGTCTTCCATCCCGGCAGTTCTTTGTTTTTCACCCTATGAGTGACATGTGGTATGTGCTCGTTCATCACATTCATAAACAGGGTATTCCAAATTGTAAGATTGTCCTCAACATCCGAAGAAGCATCGAGTACTGACCATGATAATTATGACTCTGCTGTTGAGTTTGAAGTGCAAAAGAATAAAATGAATAATAATTTTGAACTTTCAGTGTGTTGTTGTTGTTGTTTTTTTCTCGAGACACAAATTCAGCATTTCGTTTCCCATATAAGGAGCTGTATCCGTCGACATACACTTATAAGCGAGTCCTTCGAGTAAATCGCTGTTCCCCCCCTTCGGAGTCAGTTCTATCACATCGGGGGTTGTATTGCCGTCGATCGCTAATTTAGGTTCACGCCAAGTGTGATTGCGCCAAGTTTCTCTCATTGCGAACACATCCAACTTGTTGATGAGCACCAGTGCCGTAATTTCTTCGAAATGGCCCGCCCGAAGAGAGCGGATCTTTAAATGGCACAGTTTCAGACTTTTTTCTCTTTCAAACTAAAACATAGATGATCTGTGCTCTGTCTAGTTTCTTCATCTGGCCTTGGATTAGGAGACATGTTACCAGAAAGCTGGAGTCTTGATAACTGAAAATAGGACGACGAGTTTGAATACTTCGCAATTCTTGTCTTAAAGTAGCCATTGAACTTCAGCTTGAATGTAGAGAAACTGCTTTGGGATAGATTTGCCTTTCATCGATTAAAGCTGACCGGTACGTGTGTCCTCGTAGTATTAGTATAAAATCGAATTGAAAGCATCGATCACCACGAATGCAAAATATACGGAGCCTGTGAAAAAGCGTTCTCAGTCGCCATGATATGCAAATGATGTGTATGATATGATATGATATGACATGATATATGATATGATATGATATGATATGATATGATATGATATGATATAACATGACATGACATGATATGACAAGATATCATATCATATGATATGATATGATGTGATGTGCCATGATATGATATGATATTGCTTTGCATTTCCAGCTCACATCTTACACGACGTGTTAAACACGTTTGAGAGCAAACTGTTTCATCTATAACACCACTGGAATGGAATGGTCCGTTCAAAACCTATACCATACCACCCATAGTACAATGGAAAAGACTAGATAATTAACAAGACCCTTCTGGTATTGCCAAGAATTCTACCCGAAAAAAAGTATGGTGAACGGCATCAGTAACTCCCAAAGTTGTTAACGCACAAATGCAAAAGGCGCGAATCAACAGCCTACTCCCCATTGTTTCTTTTGTTGGGACGAGCACCACGTTTACTTGTTGACATTCTTCACCAGGATCAGTGAAGGACAGTCACTCCGCTTTTGTCAAGGAAATGCAAAGCTGTTCCTCGTGTTCCGTTGGAAGCAGAAAAGGGTCGCTCTTTAGCTCTCAAGGAAAATTCATTTCAAGACCACAAAGCCCACGGTACAACCTTAGAACCAGGGGAAAGAGTTCTTGTGAGAAATCGTTCGGATCCTAGAGAACCGGGTATCGTAAGGAATACTGGGAGGAACAGATTCACGTGGTGGTGGGAAAGGGTAGAGCCCTGTCTACGAGGTATATCCGGAGGGAAGCGACCACGATAAGCGTGTTCTTCACAAAAATCTGCTCTTACAATATCAATTTCCCCCCGTAACGCAACAGCAGCACAGTCAGGCGGGTGACAGAACTTGGAGCACTGCAAAGATTTCAGTGAAAGCGCACAGAGTATCACAGATCAGCAATGACAGCAAAAGCGGTTATTCTAAAATCCCAACCAGCTAACCAAAGCCGGCTGAGTGGCCTAACCAGTTTCTACTATGGAAGGCCATGTACAGTTTGATTCCGGTGACAACGAATCAAAAGAGTCTCAACACGGTGATTCCACCATGTGGCAGCAACAAGGTCCAACATTTCTCGGGAGATGCGATCTAAGGAAAGCAAACACAGGCCACAAGCTGCAATAGCAGTCACACCTACTAAAAGAGCATCATCACGGCCATAATTAAAACCAGAATCCGAACCACAGCCGAAATAACAACGCTTTAATACAATGTGTTCGACACTTACCGTTGTTGTTTACATGCCACAGATTAGGACAGCCAGCTATTTGTAATACTCAGGCCGTTGTGAACCCCAACACTGGCTGGTTTTACCCACGTATTCATTCACAAGGGATGATCTCAACGTACCCTTTTTGCCCACCACCGTCTTATGGTTCTTCCGCACAATGGCCTATGCAGATGATACCAGTGTAACGTATGGATTTATGAACTGTTTTCACCGTTCTTGTTTTAAACATGCAAAAAATATATAATATAGATTTAGCCAGGGTAGCCAGCTCTCGGTAATATCTATAGTTTGCTCAAACTAAATATAAAATCGTGTAAAGCTAAGGGGCGAATGCAACGAGAACTTTGAAAAAACAACAATAGGTCTAATAAGAAAAAAAAAAACAGCTTTGCCCGTGCAGCGCACTTCTTTTTTTTGGCACATTTCTTTGCCGTTGTTTTGCAAGACTGCAACGTCAAACGTCAAGAAACTTCCTGGTTACACGTTATATGGAGGAAATGTCGTACATGTTCTTGTTTCACTTTTTCACTGCCGCTCATTTTTTCTTTGGTGGCCGCTAGCATTTCTCATTTTCTCACCGCCGCTGTAAATTTATGTTCCTTCAATATCCGGCAGATTAAAGTTGTCTAATTAACGATCGCATTCGACATTCAGACTGATATGACCTGTCACCTATTAACCTGCGATCAGGCGTTTTTTTTTCCAAGGGCGGACGAGGCGAGAGGTAAAAAAATAACGCCTGATACATTTATTTAACATGCCGCCAGTCGCCCTCTAATTTAAATAAAAAACGTCAGCTCTACCTGTCAAGTTAATGGGCCAATCAGCATTTACCGGAAGTCAGCCGCTATGCGTACATTGGCGGGAATCTTATTTCAAAAGAAGCGCGAAAAACGTCTGTCCGCACTGAAAAAAGGGAAAAGTAGCCTAAGATCATGCTCTTCGTATTATCCCTCTATGTCTCTCACGGGAAGAGAAAAGAAAATTACCCGGCGATGTCCAGATGGCGCTCGCTAAAAAAAATGTTATCTTTGTGATGAAATTCTGCTAGCTGGGGCTGTGCCGTTATGCAAGGCCACAAGAAATCGAGAGTTAACAGAAAAGAAATTGTCCACTGCCGGCAGTATCGCGTTGTCGGACTTACTCAGAAGCGTTGGGATAGGTATTTGTATTGCAGCGAGCGAAGAATTCAGATCGGCAGCTTGCAAAGAATGTGCAAGAAAACTTTTCAATTGCTGCACGATGTTTCATGAACTTGAAAGTGCTGTCAAAGCCAGGATCGACGTGGGCTATTCAGAGTCTACGGAAGGTGGAATTAAGAGGCTCCATGGAAATTCCCCCAGAGGATCGACACCAAACTCCAAGAAAATAAAGGATATTCCACAACAAGTACAAGAGCCAAGAGAACCTAAAGGTCGGTCAAGGAAATCCTTATTTCAGCTCGAAGCCGATTGGACTGAGCGTGAAAATCTTGAAGGCGCTATAGCGAATTTGATGTGTTTACCGGTAACAACAACAAAGGACGAAACAGCGCCCAGGCTAGTCGTGAGGGTAAGTGGTTCTTTTTCCAGATAGTTAAATTCTAAATTAAGCTTAATAGCTGCAGCTACTTGCAATTAGCGTTTCTTTCAATGGACGCAATCATTTAATTTCTTTCCTTCTGATACGGGTAAAGAAACTTATTCAACGAAAAGAAGCTTTACAAATTTGAACTGAAATTGACAACTGTTTATCGATATTCACATAAGCCTTTTAGATTCTATAAGAATTGCCCGGACATGTTCTACTCATTTTTGTTTATCAATTGTTGTCTTTATCTTCATCTTTCAGATATTTATGGCATATTCCAGTGGTCGAGTGATAGAACACGAGTGTACAGGTGACGAAGAGCTTCTTGTAAAAAACTTAGGAATCAAAAACTACAAAGCCGCCGCAGTTGGCGTCACTAAATTTTCTCCACTGCACGATAAAGTGCTAGAAGAGACTGGAAAAAAAATAAAGAGAGAACTAAAGAACTCCTCAAAAGATCCGACGAACACGTACGAGTATCGAGGGGAGTTAAGGAAGCTTGCTGATTTCCGAAATGACCATTTGATTACAGAAATCCAACAAAAAGCACCCAACTTGCATTGCCTTGTTTCTTCGTCATTTCCAAGGAACAAAAAAGTAAAGAACGCGAAAAACAAGGAAGCATTGATCTTTGCAAGCATTCTGAATCCATGGATTCCGAACTCTTATTTTACATTTAGAATTAGCACCATTCTAGTGCTTGGAGGTTGTAAGAAGGAGGAGATGGACTGTTTTAACAAGCTAGGCCTCGCGAGCCATCCTAACAGCGTGCGAAACATGCAGAAGAAAGCATGCTTTGCTTTCGACAAAGCTGCGACGAACTGGAAAGATGAGATAGTAACACGCGACAAGAAGATTCTTCTCCTAGAAGAAGTTCTCAACAGACACTCAGAAACAACCTCTCAAACTGACGATGGCATGGAAGTGCCGCACGATTGATTTTTCTAGGGAGGCTGTTTCTTGTTGTGAGAGACATTAGAGGGATAATAGGGAGAGGGCATGATCTCAGGCTAGTCGCCTATTTTCTCTTTTTCTCCGTCTTTCTCGTCATTTGTGGACATGATAATTAATCTATTAAGCTTAATACTTTAGACAACACGAATACAGGAGCAATTTCTGTTTCCGTTTTCGTCTTTATCGACTCTTTAGTTGTCTCAGCTTCACAAGCTCCGCTATAAAAATACATACCATCTGCCCCAATGCTTTTCAAACAGGCAAATAAGAAACTTAGGTTTTTTGTTCCTCTGGCGGTAATAGTTGTCAAGTAGGGAATAAATGAGAAAGGGTCTGAACATGTGTATTCTTAAGTTTGTATGTAATTGCTGATTTGACCTGACCAACCAACTCAGACCTGTAAGGGATGCATACAAAGGTGGGGAGGCACCCGTGACAATTCATGAGAGAGAAAAAACGACTCTCGGGAACAGTTTAGAGTAGTAAAATGTATCGGATGACATTTCTTTCAAGTCGGGAAATGTTATAGATGACGTAATTGCTAATCACGTGACAGAGAAAAACTCTGTGTGGGCAGTGAGATTTTTTTTTCCCAGAGAAGTCGATTAAAAAAGTCGAATGTCTAGGAATAAAGAAAGCACAAAGAAGTCTATGTGGGAATTACTTTTTTCGAGTCTTGCAACATATTCCTTATGACCGATTACTAAAATGAGGTCAGTGCTAAAATAGGTTTCCACAAATCGTTTCCTGGTAGTACTTACAATGAATCAACACCACTGAAATGCACGAATGTGCCATCAGGTATGCTAAGAAGTTCATTTGTAGACAGGGTTCTGTTGGAAAAGGAACAGCAAAAATAGTAATAATTAAAATGTTCCAGAGAAAAAAAATGAAGAATTTTGATTTCCCGAGTTTAATTTCTATTCCACCCTTCAATAAAGGCTAATTTACTGGTACAAAGTAAGCATAAAAACAAGTAATTTTTTTGTACAATGCAGGCGAGTCAACTACTAACCAAACAAAATCAAACAGTTTATGCCATCAGACAGTGTCCATGGCAGTCAGCCAGTAAGCTTCCAGAATTCTACGCAAGAAATGCAATCAATAAATACAGATAGTGTATGCTTGTGCAAATAACCCGTTGAAGAGTTTAATAAGGTCAGAGTCAACTTACAAAATTGAAAGCTTGTATCCTGGACCTTCCAATACATCTGCACTTATCGCTTTTAACTTATTATTTCCCAATCCGCTGCAAAATGATAGAATTGAAATGCACTAAAATGTATGTCTTGTAAAAACTTAAGAGTATTAATCGATAGGTAAATAAAAGCTTTATGAAACAGTAATGCAAAGATAACGTCATTTGGAAGAATAACAGAGATGGAAGAAGAAATTGTCAGGCGTACGATTCATTGCCTTCCAGTTTTCAGGCAAAACACCTTATATAGAAAACTAAGCAGAATAAATTGCAGTGGAAGGAAAAAACCCTCACTTTAAGTCAAGGAGTTTCAAAAGACCAACTTGCCAATTAAACAGACTTGATACTTCTGTGCTCATAAGACAGTAAGGAATATCTCTGAGTTGAGGATCTTCAAGGAAGGGTTTCCAAATAAGTTTTTAATTTGAACTGGAAAGAAACCTACTAAACTGAACTACAGCTTATTTCTTACATGTATCTCCTCGAAATTAACGATCTTTAGTTAAAATAGCTATTAGGTCACTACAGTTCAGCAGAAGAATATCTCATAACTAAAGTCTAAGGTAGTCCTCTGCGCCCGGTATTCCTAAATTATTTCAGTCAATGGGGAAATCTCCTTTTTACGAGTTTTTGGCTTTCTGAGGTCTCTTTTGATCTTAATTGTATTACGTATATTACAGGTAACTCATCTTGCAAATTGTATTGCAATTCGAGATTAAGGAATGTTGTGTTTTAATTATGGTATTACGATGAATTTATCCCAAACTGGTTGTAATGATGAAGTGTTGGTGGCAAATAATAATAATAATAATAATAATAATAGTAATCCTCGTTTTGTTTTTATTTTTCTTCAAACAATGCGGTTCATGCGCGATTACATGGTTACAGATATCTTTGACGGATGGGGCATCCTGCTGTCCTGCTTAAAACTTACAGCATTGTCAGGTTTTTCATGGCTCGAAACGTTCCACTTTGGATGTACTTCAGGTTGCAATTGGAGATATATCTGAAACATAATCAGTAGTAAAGGGGATCACTTCCGCCAGTAGCAAATCCGTTGAGTATTTTGTACCACCCGACGTAAATAGACCAATCAGCATGTCAATCTTTTTCTTTTACTACTATAGCTTATCAGACCAGTTAAGGTGTCGAACTTCTCACTAGATTTGGAGAGCTCAAATTGTTTTTTTGGGTTTACCTTTTTGACATTTAACTGCAACCTTAGATTAGCTGTCATGATGATTTTAATTCCTAACTAATTGTTGTATCGTGTTTTGTTTATGTAAACAGGCTCATAAAAAACAATCAACTACAACCTCCAGGACTACTACCAGAAGAAGGAGAAGCGATTCATTTTAGCAGGCTTTTGTCATAGAAGGTGAGGCAATTTTTTTACTAATCCTTCAGTCTTTGATTACTGTTTTGATGATTCGTCTTTGGCCGCTGCACTTTACTGTCTCTTGTGTGAACATTTTGAGAAAACAACATTTCGATTACAGTCGGCATCAGATTTTATTTTAATAGTAGAAACAGCTAGTTTTCTACTACATAATCTGGAAAAGTATTTGCTTATTATACTGTTTTTGCTTAGCAATGCTTCAGTGTCTTTGCCTTTTTGATGTGGATGAATGGCAAAGGCATTTTTAGACACTTAAAAGTTTATTTTTTTCTTTTAATTTAAATTGCTGCTAACAACTTACAACACTCTCATCATTTCAAGACCAGCGAAAGTATCAGCTGTCAAGATCGGCCCTATTGGATTTCCAATTATATTTCTGAAAAATTAAATGTAACTACAGTCAATATAATATCTGAAATCTCACATGTCTTAAATGTGGGAGGATAGATCTTGGTTCAACACTTGCAAGGTAATCGCCGTCAAAAAGAAAGCCTGAAATAAAAATCCGGGCTTGACAGGGATTTGACTCCATAACCTCTGCGATACCGTTGCAGTGGTGTTACCTACCGAGTTATATGTGAAATTTCATAGATTCACTTTCATAATATGAAGGCAAAGATACGACGTGTAATTTACGAACCTACAAGGTGACCAGTTCGAGAGTTCCGTGTAGGATCCATAGCTCAGTTGGTGAGAGCAATGCACTAGCTAAAAGGTAGCTTTGTAGCTTAAAGGTCATAGGTCCGAATTCCGTTTCCTTACGTCTCCAGCTACTTAAGATATGTACACAACTGCGATGATTTCTTACGTAACTGATTGCTTATATTTACTGCGATGTTGTATGAACTGAGAGGAAAAAAGAATAAATTTAAGACAATCAGAAGTCGACCTTGATTGACTTAACTATGACTATTAAATTCCTAAAAATGCTGCTTTACTATTTTTCGTCGAGCAGATTGAGTCAAAAATGGCGGTAGGGATTTCTGTCGAAGCATTAAATGTGGCACAGAGAGAGATATCGAGATAATCTCTACCCGGTCAATTCCATCCAATTCCTAAGACTGTCATATACATCGAAACAGCCAGATGACCTATACTTACAAGAAGTTGACGCGTTTGGAGTTTGAGAGGATTGTTTTCAAGCCTCCTAAGGATAGCCTATTGTTGGGCATCGTGCTGAAAAGAAAAACGATACATATCTTTTCAGTTGCATAACGTCTTTTTATAGCCGAGCACCTTGCGCGCGAGAGCGAAGCCCCATACCTAAGAAAATCTGGTTATCCATCCATCCGAGAAATTTTGTTAGTCAAGTGATCGTACGTCAGTCTGTTCGCCCTCATCACAGGGTAACCAATGTGAAATGTCACACTTTCTAGCTAGTGTGGGAGCCTGTAACCTGTCAATGGACAGCTCTCAAAACAGAGTACCCACTGACCAGTATGAGCTACCCGTATCGAGGGCGCATGTGTCGATCTAACGAGGTTGGGTGTTTTCTAAGTGGGCTCGGCTGACAAGTTACCAGTTTTCAACTTAGTACATAGGGTCATGTTAATTCAGGATTCATTCACTTAATGACGTACTTAGACTATCCTGGGATCATATTAATAGAACAAGCTGTACTTGCGACAGCATGTTTTTCACCCAGGCTAAGTAACTTAAGCTTACATTTTTGTTACTGTCCCTGGGAGATAGAATCCACCTTCGATTTTGTTGTCATCAAGATTTCTAAAATAGAGAAATAGAGGCAGTTTGATTCTAAAATCAACAAAGGAACTTGCAATACCGTTCTATTGTTTTAACAATACTGGAAAAAGCACGGTGGCGCTCAGCTGTGCTTTTTTAGCGGTTTTCTAAATGATGTCTGTTATGTTAACCAAGCCTGCGTAGCAAGCGTTTCTGTGCGGTTTAGAGTAAAGAACGAGGAACAAGAGACAAAGACCGCGCGAAAAATGGCACAAGTAAAAGAGCGGGGAGGGGTGGGGAAGACAGGAAGGAAGCGCTTGAAGACAAACCCCTCGATGTTGAAAACCGCCTACTTGGCCTGTCATGCCTGAGTTCACGCACCGATATTTGATGCTGTCATCAGCTGTCATAATTGGCCAATAAATTGTTTGTCCTTTCGTTGAGCGGAAATAAACTTTAAAGGAGCGTGTGTGGAACCAAAATATTTTTTTTGCATTTTGGAACGCGTGGACGGCGTTAATGGTGAAATCTCAATGAATACGAACGATTATTGCAGGTCAAAGCTTAGCTAGACAGAACGGCTTACCGTTCTCGCCAAGGCACAGACAACTAGAGTGTTCTTGTAAAAGCATCTAAGAACAAAGCTGACCCGGCAACTGATGAAGTTAGCGTGGAGAACTAATCAGCAATTTTGACTGAGTCACAATGCAGTTCTCTATAGTTGATGTAGCTTCAGTTTTTTTTAATCTGTAAATCACTATCCCAGAGAATTTAACATCGAGCAAAAAAAAAACCTAACGACCTGGGCCCAGCACGACAAAACATTACAGGAAACCATCGCATTCCCTGACAAAAGAAAATCGCTTTTAGTTTTCAGATCCGGGAGACACTTTGGAGAATAAATTAAACGACCTGAAACCCTTATACTGTCGCAAGAAGAGCGTTGCGTTTCAAAAGAAGTTAAAGAAAATGCTCTTGCCAAGGAGGGTAAGTCTTGCCGACCAAAGTAAACAACAACTGGAGGAAATTAAGATGACTGTCACTTACCATATATGACCTCTCAGTATGAAGCAAACCTTTGATCGACACATCTCAATGTTGTTCGACTAGCCGAGCCAATCAAGCGCTGCCTTCGCTTTTTTCAAAATCGAGGGTTTTTTTTCCGCAAGCGTTTCCTTTCTTCCTCTCCCCCTCCACTCTCTTTCATTTTTTTGGTTCTCGCTTAATTTCTCGCGCGATCAAAACCGAAAATCCCCTTCCACGGTCTCTTTTACTCCGAAACCAAACGGAACCCCTTCTACGCAGGCTAATGATAACCCAAATGTATGCTAGCTTTGCACCTACTTAACTCGTTCTAGTTTTTTGTACTGTGATTGTTGACTTCGTCATTGGTTCATAGCATATTTAAATCCAGGACAGAAGATATCTTCGCGTGAAAGAGTCGTTGTATTGAAACTTGATGACGATTAAAAAGAAATAAAATCATGCACGCAATGAGATTACCAACATTCTTGGTGCCAGTCTCTCTTTACCTCTACACCTAAATTTACAATTTATGACTTTTCAATGTAAAAAAGGTTATTTTTGGTCAAATTATCGCAGTGGGCCACATCTTGTCGAACAAAGAAAGAGGAAGTATCAAAATCTGGATACAAGAGCGCTGAAACGAGGAGTGTTGCCATGTCAAAATTAAAGTATACTTCATCATGTCAATATTCCCTATTTTCTGTGTCATTTCTGGTTGCAAACCACCGATGACGTCATCAGGTACCTAATTTCCATAATACGAATGCCTCAATTTCTCTTGAACGATAAGATCTATTATGACAAAGAAAGCACCATCCATCCTTATCTTGAAAATATATAAAATGTCAGCAAGTCCACATCAACAAACCCATGAGTGGTGCTAGATCTCCCAGTTGTAGACCTTGATCAGTACAATTAAACTTGTAGAAAAATATGAAACGGCAAACTGATCCTTACGGCAAGGCGATAAAGACGTAAACGAAAGAATATAGTGAAACAAAAAATATTAATATATTGTAAAAGAACACTCTCGTACAGTTTGAATTCGACTTTTACTTCTCGATTCACTAGAACAATTACAGCAAAAAAAGAAAATACAGAATTAATAAACGCGGACCGAAAGCCTTACAAAAAACGATAACTTAAAGTACAACAAATGACTAAGAAATTAAAACGAGCAAAAATTACAGGAAAAACTATACTTACAAGATCTGTACGGCAACTCCGGATACAACTAAGCGACTGATTTACATGAACCAAAAATAAGACTTTATACTAAACTGGACAGAAAATAATGAACCTAACGAACTTACAAAAATTGACAATAACGATTACGTAACGCAACTCCTGAGACTAGAATACAGAAAGAATACGCATATGAAAAAAGGCTAACAAAAGACTACTCCAAGCGCGATAACAAAGGCACTAATTAAACTAATTTTACGCAACGCAAAACATGAAAAAATAAAGAACAGGAAAAAACTCGCAGTCTCTCGTGGCTACATGCCCGCCCCAATGAACTATCCAAGTCTCTTTAAAGTTCATTAATAGAGTCACTACCTAGGCACGAGCGTAAGTCCGCGATCCTTAAATAGAATTCTTAGTAGTGATGAAATAAATTCCTTTTCACAGCTTCTGGAGAAAAAAAGGGTTCGTTTTTTTCTAAGTTCAATGTGGCGCTCTTTGACCTTCAAGGAAGAATAACTTTGTTACTGGCCTTGTAAGAACGGTTAGACTCGTCTTAACCTTTGCTGATCTGACATATCCGTCTTTTCCGCGAAAGACATCAACAACTTTGCCTAACGGCCATTTTCCGCGATGGACATTTTCATCTGCAATCAATACTAGATCTCCGATCTCCAAGCTACGACGAGGCTTCATCCACTTTGCTCTTTCTTGTAGGGTTGGCAAATACTCCTTTAGCCAGCGCTTCCAGAATATGTCTGAGATGTACTGCACCTGTCGCCATCGGCGCTTACTGTAACTATCTTCCTTGCCAAAGGACCCAACGGGCAAACTTGGATTCGATCTCAATAACAGCAGATGATTCGGCGTGAGAGGTTCTAGGTCCTTAGGGTCGCTACTCACTGGTGTCAAAGGTCGGCTGTTCAAAATACCTGCAACTTCGGCCATGAGGGTTTGCAGCATTTCATCAGTGACGAGTTGTTGTCCCAGCAAGGCTTTAAGGATTTTACGAATTGATCTAATGATCCTTTGCAAGGCCTGGATGACTTCGGGAAATGAAATTCTCTGTGTGTGCTTGATAATCTCCTTTTCAGCTTCTTTCATTTCGTCTACCGACAGGACTCTTCTATTTACACTACTCTTAACATTGGAACTGATTGGTCTTCGACTGTATCGCTCAATGAACCACGTTCTAAATCTATGTAACCAGGCCACTGCCCTCTTTAATCTTTCCCATGATGAATGGCGCTCGATCAAACTTGAAAGAATATCTCCACTTTGATGGCCAGACGATGATTGGCTGTTAGACTGAGCACGTTTGATCTCTGGATCGTCATCGGATAACTCCGGTTCATGAAGTGTAGGATCACGAGGCCAAAATTCATCTCTCCTGGTTAGAAACTGAGGACCATTTAGCCACTTGCTGTTTGCACACATCTCTTCTACTGTGAGACCTCTACTAACTTCATCAGCCGGGTTGAGCTCGGAACTTATGTGTCTCCACTGGTGGGGGGCTGAGTTCTCGTGAATAACTGAGAGTCTGTTTGCTACAAACGTGTGAAATCTCTTCGACTGATTTCTGATGTACTGCAACACACAGGTGGAGTCTGACCAATATGTTGATTGTGTTATCGGAACGTCCAATTCCTCTCGAACAGACTTGTCTAACTGAACAGCTAAGACTGCCGCGGACAGTTGCAATCTCGGTACAGTCATAGGTTTCAGGTGTGCTAGGCGAGATTTTCCAATAAGGAATGTGCAATGGATTCTATCTTCAACGTCTACCATTCTGAGATACGAGACCGCTCCATATGCTATCTGCGACGCGTCTGCGAAGTTGTGCAACTCGGCAAATTTCAAGTCTCCAAAGTACAACGGCTTAATGCATCTTCCAACAGAGATCCGAGAGAGACTGGGTAATTTACTCTTCCATTTCTCCCATCTTTCACCATCTTCATCACTGATTGGGTCGTCCCATCCAATTTTCTTTTTACAAAGATCTTGCAACAACTTCTTTGCCGTTAGAACAACTGGAGCGACCAACCCAAGTGGATCATAAACGGAGCTCATCATGCTGAGTATTCCCCGACGGGTATTTGGTCTGTCTCTTAGGGTAACCTTAAAAGTAAACTCGTCTTTCTCTAAATCCCACTTGAGCCCCAGCGTCCGTTGGATCGGTGGGTTTACTTTGTCCAGGTCAAGGTCAAGTACTGACGGGGCTCTCTCAACTCGCGGAATGCAGTCCAAGACCTCTGAACTGTTACTCAACCATTTGGTTAATCGAAATCCTCCTTTGGACAGAATGCTTCTTAGCTGATGCACAAATTCCACAGCGTTTTTTGCAGATTTAACCGACTTGAGGCAGTCATCGACGTAAAAGTTTCTTTTGACTGTCCTGACCACTTCTTCCGGGAATTCGTCTTTGTTATCTTCTGCTGTCCTTTTCAAAGCGAAGTTGCAACAACTCGGTGACGACGTTGCACCAAACAAATGGACTTCCATACGATAATCGACTGGTTGCTGATTCAAGTCACCATCCGGCCACCAGAGGAATTTAAACGCGTCTTGGTCGTCTGGTGGTACTCTAACTTGATGGAACATGCACTCGATGTCAGCTAATAACGCGACTCGTTCTTCCCGGAATCTCATCAACACGCCAACTATAGAATTAGTCAAGTCCGGTCCAGTAAGAAGCTGATCGTTAAGAGATGTTCCTCCGTACTTGGCTGCACAGTCGAAGACTACTCTGGTTTTTCCAGGCTTGTTGAGTACAGGGTGGTGAGGTAAATACCACAGCGGCCGCTTGTCGTCTACATGAACCTCGTTACACGGT